GTTATTTTTAAATTATATGAAAATAACTTGAAAGCATGGTACGTTAACTGTCGCTCATCATGCCATGAGTTACAGGATTGAGCTGATGTAATCCTATAGTTATTTATCTTTGCAATAATTTAGCTACAGAAAAAGCTTCACTGTTATAAGCACAAATATTCGAACATTTGAAAAGAAAAGCTTGACTGATCTGACTCAGACAAGCTATTAAGCCTCTCCATCATCTCCCTCCTTGAGTCCTTCCCATCCCCACTTGGACAGTGAAGAGCAAAAGAAGGTAAGAGCATCAGGAGGAAGTAGATAAAAGAGGATTCTCAGGCATACATGAGTGGCAGGAAGGAGGAAGATGATAGTTAGACAAAGAGAGGGGATAAGTGTAAGATGAGAAGGAATTTTTCCTGTTGGGGAGGGAGGAGAAAGGATGAGGGAGAAATGGCAGGCACGAGTGGTGAGTAATGGAGTAATGCATGGAGGAGGGGAAGTTGGTGGGGCTGCGTCGCTCTGAGGCAGATGTATTGAAGCGCCGACTGGCAGATCAATAGGATGTGCTCAATCAACAGAGTGATCCATATGCTCTGACCTAACTTCAGATGGCTAAGAGTTGAGATGCGTGCGAGTGTGAGTGCGCCTATTTATATATACGCTGACGTATGCTGACATAGTAAATGGTTTCCCTTTTGTTTTTTTCCAAACAAAGGGCCTCATTCAGGTGGACATACTGCCTCTAAAAGCCTTAAACAGAAATTACAATAAGGATTTTATAGTATTGCATCATAAAAAAGGCTTACTAAAGACTTCAATTTGACTTTAATTCAGTAGAAGGATTTTTGTCCTCACATCAAATTACTGTCATAATACAATCAACTCAAGTTCATTTATCTTGAAAGTTTGGTTCATTTGAGGAGGTGTGAATGCGCAATCAAATTTTGATGCAGTCCAAAAATGTGAACTCTGGTCCACCTAAAAACCTACGACACAGTTCAGTTGAAGTGAACGCTGATCCGGTTTGAATCCATATGTGACTGCCAAGCGGACCAGAAACCAGTGGACTATACTCCAGGAAATTCTGGATACGAAACCAGCGCACCAGTTTGGCTAGTGGAGAAATGGCTTTTATGAAAGACAAAAGAGAAATCCCACAGCTGCTAAATTTTGACGCCGCTCAATTTTTGTTTACATTTTGTGAAGAAGTACATTGTGATCATGTCTTCTCCAGGTTTTCAGGTCGTTTCTTTTAGTAGTTCTTGGTGCAGCGCCATCACAGGCGAGGAGGGGAACAAGTTTTTCAAAGGTTTGGGACAGATTGACACAGTGCAGTGTGAAAGTGAACCGCACCAGCTGAAAATGCAACAAATGTTGCAATATTGGTCCCAATAAATCCCCATTAGTCCTATCCATCTACAGAAAATACATTGTAGAAAAATTGTTAAAATGTTACTGTTAGAAAAATTAATCAGCACTTTTAATACAAGATTTTAAATCCAATAACTTGTTTTTTATATCTATAATAAAAGAGACTGTAGAGTGGTGTATTATTAGCAATGTTGCATTGCACCAAGAAAGCCTTGGGTTTGATTATTGGTCTGGATGTCTTTCTGCATGGAGTTTGCATGTTCTCCCTGTGCATGCATGGGTTCCCTCTGAGTACTCCGGCTTCACAGTCCAAAAATACAGCTGTTGGGTTAAATGGCATCTCAAAACTGCTCTTACGAGTGAGTGTGTGTGCGGTTGTTAGTACTGTGTCTGTGGGTACTTGGCATGGGCTAACAACTTATCCAGAGTGTGACATGCCTCTCGCATAATGACAGCCAGCAGCAGACCTGCATGCACAGTATAAGCGGGTGCAGACGAGGGATGTTGAACGTTCAGAAAGCAAAACGAGCAGGAAGATTCAAGAGAAGAAAACTGATTACACTGGCTGGTGGTTTTCAGCAGCATCTTGCAAATAATTACTATGAAAATTTGAGTTCGGAGCTTAAAAGCATGGGTAAAAATACATTAAAAAAAAACAAAACTCTTAGCCATATATAGATTGATGACAATGACTTCTTTGTTTTTTTGTATTTTGAAATGTTGCTTGCTTGACACAGCAACTTTTATAGTAACACTCTCACTACATTTTATCAGTAGATGGTTAAGGATTCAGAGACGTATCCTTCACAGATTATCTCATTCCCAGCAGAATCTCTACTGGTTCTGTTTATTAATCTTTATTTTTGTGGCAGTTTTACTGAAAGTTTTCTGACTGTTTGTCACATCTTAAAATACTCTGCAGCAGGAGGAAACACAAAGAGATGCAGACCAGCTATCTATAGGTGACAGATCTACAGTCAGTATCTACTTCTGTTCTCCATTTTTAATGCATTAAACTTAAAGCCACAATAAAAAGATTAAACAGGAGAACATAAAATTAAGTATCAAGGTCAATAAGGAAGCTTAATAGTAGCCTGCTTTATCTGATGTTTGTTTGGGATCATTGCATTGCTGGAACTGTACCAGCTGTATTATGAGCCTGGCGGGCCACCAGGCTTTACTTGTGCCCCAACCAGGCTTAGCTTTGCTTATTTATTTAAGGCTTTTTAAAATATTTGCATTTTTTAAGACTTTATAGTTGGTGTTCAGGTATTAATTTTCCAGACTTTCAATGACACATAATTATTGTGTGAAATTTTCACATTTTCTGTCAACTTTAAACATTTTTTAACTCAAAAACACGACAGGCTGCTGGATGAATGACTGCCGAGCGCCCATCCACCAGATTTAGCAAGTTTTCTGTGGGGAACCTTGCTGTATCAAAAGTTTCTGACTCAAATTGCCTTCAAGATAAGCCTGCAGCCCATCAAGACTAAACTTTGTCATAAACTGGTGGAAGCAGCACCATGTTAAAGGTGTGTTTTATATTGCTTCTAACCAAGGTCTGCAACAGGAAACCAATCAATTCAAAAAGTGCATCTCATCTTCTCTTCTCTTTTCTGATGAGAAGATAAGAAGGAAGCATTTTATGGCTAAGCAGCATTTTATGGCTAAGCAGCATGTGGCTGAGGTGGAACCTGCATGAATTTGGTGAATTTATATATTTGAGCCTGGATGTATAATTCTGACCTGAGAAGGATTAGAGGAAATCGATGTAAGAAATTATCACTATTATACCCCTAATTACTATCACACACAATAATAAATGTATGCACTTTTCTGATGAGAACTGCAAATATGTTTTCATTTGCCAACAATTACTAAACGTTTTTGCTTTGCTAAAGCCGCACACTCTGGCTCCATTCTGCACTACAACATTTCCACAGGTGCAGATTAGAAAGATGGTGGTTACATGTTGCACTTGTGGTTATAAAAGTGTAAGAACAAGCGCAACATCTGGGCCGGTGTTGCCAGTGCTTTTTGAGAGAACTCAGTATCAATTTTAAGACTGATAAGATAAAACGAGGGGAAGACGTCTGAGAAGTGACGATACAGAATCTGGGCCTTTCTCACAATTTGACTCATAACAGCCATAAACTTAAATTATTCGTCATTTAGTTTGGACGTCACCAACACAAAGCAGTGCACAGCTATAAAGTAGGAAGGAAAATGCTTTATGATTTACAGATTAAAATCTTCAAAGTGTGGGATGGATATGAATTCACCCTCCTGCATACATAAATTTTTTGGAGCAGTTTTCTGCAGCTCCTCCAGAGATACCATGAGGCCTTTTGGATGCTTCTCTGATTCATGCTGTCTCATTTAAGGTGGGTACTGTCTCTATTTTCAGATGAGGGACTGAACTGTCACTGTCACTGTGAGATGTTTAACGCTTGGATGTTGTTTTTTATTGATTGATTTATTGAACCTAAACCTGCTTTTACGTAGCTTCTCCATAACTCTGACCAGTCTGCTCTGCTCCTTAGTGTTTATGATGTTGTTTGTTTACTACTATTCTCTAACAAACCCCTGAGCCCTTCACAGAACGAGAACTGAAAACAATTAATTGTGATTTAATCGATTATTTCAATTATAGTTGACTAGCTTATTAATCAATTAATCGCTAACAAGAGTATACAGACTTAATACAGGCAATCTCCTGAAAGAATAACAAACTCAGAAAAGTACTTACATAAAACTATACAAAAAAAATCTAAACATTTTGCATTTAGATAAAAGAAATGTTTTTGTCTGTTATGTTGCTCTACCCAATACTCCTCAAGTTAAATAGTTTTAGCTAAAACTGCATCACATGCATCAAAATCTGAAGAGAAAATCTCCAACCAAGCATCGTTAGCTATCATTTATTAATTGGTTAATCCATAAAAATGATCAACAGATCAACCCTACACTCTATTGGTGCTATATCAAGCAGACAGAGCTGAGCTTTTCAAATGTTTCTGTAAAAAGTATTTTTTTTTAGCTTCAAATTCATCTCTTGCGACAAATGATCAAGTCTACCTGAAAGATTATTATTTTCTCATTCAAGAAAATGAATTAAATTATTTATTTGCATATTTTTAATAAATTCCCAGGCGGATAAAATAAGTTTAAGCGACTGAGTGAAAAGTCTGCAAAATGCACCAATTTATTATCAGATTAATTGATTAATTGTCTGAAAAATCAAAAGAATAATCCACTACTATAATAATGGTTAGTTGCAGCCAGAACTCAGAGCTGGAATGCTGTACATTATTCACCAATTATTTATATCATTGGTGAATGATATATCTCCATGCTCAGTTTTACATAATCTACTAACAGCTATGAGATTTCTTAGAATTGGATGGAAGAAAAGGGAAGCCATTGCAGCTGATTGGTGTGGCGGTTTTTTCCAAACATATGTGTACATTGTGTACCTGGAGGTACTTTCCACTACTTACCAATATGCATCAAACTACCATGCGAATAAAGCAGGCCCTATTGTAGTTTTTTTGTTGTTGCAAACCACGATGTTCCTTTAGGGTTAGTGTGAAGTCATGCAAACCTGTAGCATTCATGCCTCACACACGCATATCTGCACATACCCAGTCTTCGAAGTGCCTGGTTCCGTTCTGCAGCAGGTCCTCCAGCTGGATGGTGCAGTTGGCCACGAAGTCGTCATACCCGATGGGAGCATCGTGGAACACCGACAGCTCCAGACTGCGTCCCTCTCGGACCTCGGTGCAGAACTCCTGGTGCCAGGCCGGGTTGTTGGTCTTGGTTCTTGTGGCGGTCTGGCCCAGGCGGATCTGGTCCAGGTTCAAGGCCAGGTAGGGGTCCAACAGGAAGGAGCCGCTCTTCCCCACGGCGTGACGCAATGCCCACGGGGTGGGCTTCAGGTCCACGGCTTCAACCACCCGAACCTTCAACAGGCCGTTAAAGACGGGCATGGCTGCGGGCTGATGAGGTGTGTGTGTGAACAGAATGGATGGCAGTCTGCGTGTGTGTGTGAGTGCGTGCGCGCGCGTGTGTGTTTGTGTGTGTGTTTGGGTCTGGCTGTTCCCGCTCCCGCACACACAATGTTTCCTTCCAATGAGCGGGGTCACTGCACAGTCCTGCTACATCCCATAATGCCGCTGGTTCCTTCACTCTACCACGGCCATGTCAGAACATCGCAACACCCGCAATAACGGGCTGAAAACACGCAGTTCTTACCGCACACGGACTCCCCTCCGAGGCTGCCTGATGAACGCTCTCCCACCCCGAGCGGTTGTTTGTTTATGTTCGAGCCCAAAATTCCCGTTTCCGCGGAAACAGGCCAGGGCTTAACGGCCGTAAACGGAGGAAACGCGGTGTAACTGTCCTCACACGGAGCTCCGCGGCGGTCCTGTGAGTGTCTCCGCCGGGTCACGGAGGGAGAGAGCGGGGGCAGCCGCGCCTAGCCATCCGGGATTGCTGCTCCGCGTCCAGCCCCGCCGCGGCTCGGCGGCTCGGTCCTCCTCCGGGGTGATCTCCAGGCTTCAGTCTCCCACCACAGCGGCTGTTTGCGCTCAGTCTGCCAAAAAGAGTGCGTTTTAATCCGCTCTACGCGGCGGTTTGTCGGGTTCGGGAGCACCCCAGACACATCACGGAGCTCCGCTCCCGATCCGTTTTTTTCCTCCCTTCAGTCCCTGCGCGCGACCCTCGCTTCCCGTCCCCTCTCTCTCCCAATCCGTCAGTGAGCTTCTATGGCAAGCTGACTTACCATATAATGTGTTGACACAATGTTGTACAAGTTAAAGCCGCTTGTTTTGTTTTTTTGTTTTTTCACATATTTGTTAAAATAATCACTTTGTTGTCACAGAATGGTATGACACAGATCATCTGTGGAAAAATGTAGCTCTTCTACCTACTCTCAGTTCGCCCAGTGCTAACTTGAAACAACCAATCAAAGAAAGGAGGCGGGGTCTCAGCAGTGTCAATTACCAATCCTTGTGGCACTGCTCATCCATCTTTACTCCCTCTTGCTCTCTGCTGTGCTGCAGCTAGGCAGTGTTAACGGCAGATACACAGTTTTCCTGTAACGGTGTGTTGTCTATCCACTCTTAGCACATTTAGCAGTGCATTCACAAGCATGACTGACAACATTAAGACCTTCCTCCTGGCTCTGATTGGTTGCTTTTAACCATAAAAGGTGCACTTTTGCAGACTGCAAAAGTAGCAATAGCACAAGGTGGAGAAGCTTGATTTTTTTTTTCTCAGATTATCTGTATCATACCATACTCTCAGGACATGGTGGCAATTTTAATAAATATAGACAAGACATATTTGTTATGAAAGTTATGTAATGCAGCTTAAAAACAAAAAGTATATTTTGAGTTTATCAACTGGGTTTATCAATCTAAATATCAATAGTATCGATAACAAGTTGAGTATTAGTGTCTGGTAACTTCTGTCTTTCCAATAATCATAAATAACTGAAATGATAATTATTATAAACGAAATTTTAAAGTATTGGTATTGGTACACAAGCCCTGTATTTACTTAGTATTGGATTTACTCTACACTTCTGTACCATTTGACTATAAGTTTGTATTGTACAGAAATGAACCTGACTGAAAGGAAACCTCTCTGACATCTAAAATCTTTTCTTTTCATCAAAATGGACAGGATTACAATATATGTGACATGTTTTACAAGTTGAGACATTTAATCATTGACTAAATCTTGACATTTTGGCACCAAAGAATGCTGGTATTTGTTTCTCTATCAGCTCCTTGCTATCTTTTGAACAATTTTCTTATTAACTGCACGGTATTTTTTTATAATTATATTGCAAACTTACCCTTACTGTACAGTCTCTTCAGTTTTTATTTTTCTTGCATTAGTTTGAATATTCATGTTTATATGTAACTTGCTGCTGCTGCACCCGAATTCCCCCAGTGCGGAACAATAGTAAGAAGAAAACATGCAGTTAGGAGGCAGCTTGAGTAAATGTTACACTGGCTTGCCGTACAGGAAATGCAGGAAATGCGCAAAACGCGTCACACGCGCTGCCGGACTCTTGCTAACCCCTTTGTGTGTGCGTGCGAGGTCGCGCGCGCGTGTGCGTGGTCATTTGGAAGAGGCGTTCAGAGTGGAATTCACCCGCAGGCGTCGAGCGCGTGTGTGCACCCGCGCGTGCGTTTGTGTGAGGGCGCGTGCCATTACCAGACAGACGAGAGACCCAGTCAATCAGTCTGTCCATATGCACGGTCTCACACACACACACACACACACACACACACACACACACACACACACACACACACACACACACACACACACACACACAAGAAACACGTCAGAGCATAAACAAATCTATCTATCTATCTATCTGTTCAATGAAGTAGGATTTGTCCCTTAAATATTTCCTTTTTTGTTTTGTTTTTTCAACTTAAATGTGCCAAATTATCAAATATTTCTTAATAGCAGATATAGAGTAACACGTAACAATCTAGTTTTTTTTTATTTATGTTCATTTGTACGTGAAAATTGAGTCCAAGCTAATACGGCGTGTTGTGCGTGACCATGCACATGTCTTTGTTCCATGAAATACTCTGTTTATAACAGCCTGTTTACAGATGTATTTCATAAAATGTTTATTTTCTTAAACTTAAACCAATTAAATATACATTAAGATATTGTTAATGTATTACTTTTGGTATGCAGAGTTTGGACATGATGAGGCACGTTTTAAATTTGTCATAAATGCATAATTGTATTATTATGATGCCTTAACAAAGAATTAAAAGCAAAGTAAACTAAGCTAATCTGAAAAAACTGCCATTTTACCCATGTCTCCTAAAGTACATAAAATGGCATCTATAACATATTCATGTTTATGTTCTTATCGGTCGTATAAACGTGTCAGTAATTTGTTTATTTTAGTTTGTTATCAAATCAGTATGTAATTCGAAACTGCGGGTCTGATAAAAATCACAATTTATTCCCTCAAAACATCAATCTTCACTATAATGCCCGGTCACCTGCGCCACCTGCTGGCCGCACGGTTGTATTGCAGAGATGATGACGCAAACGTCCCGTAACGTCGCCAAGTGCTGTGTTCAAGTGCTCCTCGGACTTCAAGATGAAATCCGGACGCGTTTGCAGCGCTGCATCAGTTAAAAATGTTTTCTTTTTAAATGTCACCTTTTAGTGAGAAATACAATAAAATAAAACATAGAAAGTAGCTATAAATATTAAGAATAATAGCAACTATTGTTGTCGATATCATTATTACTCAGTGCTGTTAATCAAAGCGCTGAACTAAAAATGTACAAATTAGAGAAAACTCAAATTTAAATGATAAAAAATATAATTCCAAAGTTGGAAAAAGTAAAGTATCTTTTGTGTAACAAAGAAGCTCGGTATTTTCACCTACCACTGGGTGGCGCTGCAGCGTATTCTTACAAGATTTTGGATTTTTAAAGCAGATTGGAAATAAAAAAACAACAAAACAAAACAGTAACAACTTCATTCTATCTTTTTATGTGGCACAAAATATGAATGCAATAATATTAATTATAAATATGAATATAGTCCTTTTTTTACTTCTCTTTATATGCTCAAAATAGCAGACTAGGATTATTTGCTAGTAATTTAACTAATCGCAAAACATAGACAACAAAAGTTATGGTACACTTTTCCTTTTTAAGATGAGCATCATATAAAGTTTAAATAATTCAGCATTATTAATTGATTATGTGTTTTATGCTGTTTTTGTCTTTTCCTGAAAATATGTAGCTATCAAATATTAATGTTAAAACTAAACAATCATTTGTACGTGAAAATTGAGTCCAAGCTAATACGGCGTGTTGTGCGTGACCATGCACATGTCTTTGTTCAATGAAATACTCTGTTTATAACAGCCTGTTTACAAATGTATTTAATAAAATGTTTATTTTCTTAAAAATAACTAAAATCACACATCTAAAATTAAGAAAACCCACAACTGCATGAGTTTCTTTTGTTTTTCCTCAATGATTTTATAAAAGTATTATAAATTATCATGCTGTTGTGCATCATTAAATACTGCATCTGCATTTTCTATTTTCAAGTAAATATTTGCACAAATATAAGCTGAAATAAATAAAAACAATAACAAGAATTAATCAAGCGATTAATTTTGATTGTTTAATGCTGTTTTAAATATAGTAGATTTCAGGTTCATTATCTGAGTATTTCTGTGGGGTTTTTTTTATTTTTATTTTGAATAAAAAAGTTGAACCTGGAAAATTTTAAAGAATATGCTCGTTTAAAAATGCTCTTTGCTTTTCAACAAATAAACAGTTTTCATTAAAACAAAGAACATTAAACATTTGTTCACATACATAATAAATGAATTCAAATGGCCTTTTAAAATTAAATAATTTTAATATAAAATACTACAAACGTTTTGTCAGCATCAAATTGAACATGGAGTAGGCCGTGGCATGGCTTCACACAAACTGCGCACAGAACTTGAAATAGCGCTGAGGTAAAGGCTAAGAGGAAAACCAGCATTATGACTAAAAACGCAAACAGGGAGGTAGGATTTAGTTATTCTAAAAACTAAAAAAAAAACTGAAAATACAACGAATGAGGTTCTAGCTCCCCAGCAGGTTTCAGTCCAAAAAGTTCCAGCTGCTGCAGACGGAGACCAGCAGGGGGTTTCTGCTCAGTGCTGCTCTAATTTGGATTGTCAGATGAACCCATTATCACTGAATGTGGTTGGAACAGAAAGTGGTCAAAGGTCATGAGATCTTTCTGGAAAGAATATCAGCAGGAAAACAGGGGAAGCAGAAACATGTTCTTTTACGGGTCAGGCTGGCATAAAGTTATCGTAATGCTACAAGTATTCAGATCCCCCCCAAAATACAACCACGAACCTTTAATGTGTTTCACTCCAAGTGTATTTGACATTTTTAAATGGCTTGCAATTCAGCTTAAAGCTAACATTACAAATCATCTTGAAAATACTGTCTGTCCTCTTGTGTGAAGATAAGAGGCAGCATCATGCTGTGGGATGCGCTCCATGTAAGGATGCTGGTCAGAGTTGATGAGAAGATAGATGAAGGTAAAAATAGAGAAAAATCAACACTGCGGAGGTAAAATCTCAATAAAATTTATATTAGTTTATGTTTTCAACATGGCCAAATGTGAAATGTTTAAGAGGCATGAATACCTTTGCAAGACCCTGTAGCTCCTTCTCTTTCTGTCACCCTTCGACACACACACTCACAGTCCACTAAAGGTCCCTTTAAAAATATATATGTATATATATTGACCAAAGGTTTCAGACATCCAAGTCTGAGTCACTGTCCGTCACTGAGAGGAAAGTTTCTCCGTCTGCCCGCCCCGCGCTGCCGTCTGGACTGCAGTCCCCTCCGCTCGGTGGACGGGAACCGTCTGTGCAGACGCGGTGACGCTGCAACCTGACGAGTAAAACAACATAACAGAGAGATTATTGGGGAAATAAAATAAAACTCACAGAGTTTAAATATATATGCATATAATGACTGAGATTTAGTAACGGAAAATAAACTTTGCAGTAATGAATGCAGCTTAAACTCGGTATCTCTCATCCAGACAAAACAAATGAAGGGATGTGCGTTTTTACGCACGAATAGCGTCTTTACGCAGCGCCTCGGCCAGTTTGGCTGAAAAACGATTGACTTCAGAGCTGCAGTGATATCTAAATGGTTTGCAGATGTTTGCGTGACTCGTAGTAATAGGATTGTTTATTTAAAGAAACATAAATAAAGTCACCAGCCTGTTTTTAGCCGCCGCCGCGCGGTCCCTCTGTCTCCTGTTTTTAAACCAGTTCCCAACCTGGGTCGGTGTCAGTCCGGTGGCGTGAGCCAGCTCCCGTTTCTTCCCCGGGTTCGGGTACGGGTCCTGCAGGTACCACTCTCTCAGCAGCCCGCGGGTGCGCTCCTTGAAGCAGTGCGTCTTCTGCTCTCCGTCCCAGATGGTCCTCGGTAACGGGAACTTCTTCCTGACTCGGTACTTGTCGACGGGCCCCAGCGGTCGGCCCCGCAGCTTCTCCGCCTCGCGGTAGTGAGCCTCCAGCCACATGGCCTGCAGCTTCCCGTGCGAGGTGCGCGTAAAGCGGTGCGTCTCCAGGATGCGGTACAGCTCGCGGAAGCTCCCCGTGTGGAAGGCGACCACGGCGCGCGCCCGCCGCACGGACTCGTGCTCGGAGATGGAGTCGCGGCCGTCGGCGGTGACCGGCAGCGACCAGAGGAAGCGGGCCAGCCGCTCGATGTCCCCGGTCTCCTCCAGGGTCTCGCACACGCTGGCGATCTGCGTGGCGGAGAAGCAGAGTCCCGGGAGGGCCAGAGGAGGGGCGGCCGCCGGGGGCTCCTCTGGGGACCGGGAGCGGGGCAGGTGAGGCGGCCCGTCCGCAAAGTGGGGCAGGAGGAGCCGGGAGGCCGATAGAAAATCAAGCGGAGACCTGAAAACCATTTCAGTGTGACGCTAAAAAAAATAAAAATAAATTAAACAAACGACGAACTCAAGAGGTTTCCTGGAACAGACTGACATAAATCTGCTAAAGTGTGACTATTTAGCTCACCTGGGAGTCAGGGACGGACCCTGGATCTGATTTCTGATTGGACGCCAGGAGCTGATGGGGGACCGTCAGTCAAACGCAGAGGATTCATCCCGCTTCTCATGCAGAGGCGGGGCACACGACGCCTCTTTAAGGTGAAACGCTCATCTTCCAGTTCAATAAATAAAAAAAAAATGAATCCAAAAGATTATTTTTCTGCACAACAAAAACACACAGCGATAAACCAACACCACAGATGAGAAATGAAACCAACTGAAACACATTTTGAAGTTTATTTCTTTGTTTTATGCACATGGATGGCAGCAAATGAGAATAACAATTCAATTTCTTTGAAAATTAATGCATTAGAAAAAGCCAATAACAAGGACACCAGGGAAGGAGACAATCAGTCTAAAGTATTAAACTGCTTTAATACTTTATTTGTGCATCTTTTTTCCTTCCACTTAACTTTTAATTCATTTGAATGCAGCACTCTGTGGCCACCCAGCTTTTTTAACAATGACGTTTGTGACCATAGCTTGTGAAATTTGTCACTCTTGTGCATGTGTCAAACTCAAGGTGCGGGGGCCAAATCTGGCCCGCTGTAGCTTTTTAAGTGGCCCTCTAGACTCCAAATTGCATATATGAGACTCTAGTTTTTCACAAGCCCTCAAAACTCACACAAAATCAACAGAGACCCACATTTTTTCTGATTTCACTGCAAATTTTTCTCATTGAGTCTAATTGGCCGCTGCCTCAGCTTTATTTGATGCCGAGTCATACGGCAAGTGATACAAAGTCACATTTAACATCATATAACATCAAATATAAAAATTCCTTGCCAATATTTCTAAATTAGCACCACAAAATATATAATTTTGATCACAAAAGCCACAAACACAGTCATAAAATCCAGTTTATTAATATTTTAGCAGTTAAATGGGTTTTATCAAAACATTCTGGCTCGACCGGCTCTTTAAGAACATTCAGATTTTTGATTTATCCCAAAATGAAACTGAGGATGACACCGCTGCTCTAGTGCATATTTTCAACACCTGATGGCATTTATGAACTTCCGTTTTGAATACAATTTATTGTGGAGAAACTCCAGATGTCATGAAAACTTTCAAGAGGATTTTAGATGAGAGATTGGTCAAAAACCAGAATTCTCTAGATAAGTCAACTTTTCAAATGTCTATGACAAAAAAAAAAAAAAAAAAAAAACGCCCTAGAGATTAAATAAACTAATGATTACCAAGAGGAGAAAAATAAAAAGTTATTACACAAAAAACCTCCAATGCAGTGAATTAAAATCGCTGCTATCAGCCAAATTTCATCACCTTCCAGTAAGCGGCTTGCATCATTAATACGGCGGCTGACCAGAAATCCCATCCATACCCGAAAGCGTATGTTTCTCTAAGTGTTCAGCCATCACTCTAATCACTTTATAATCACTTTCATATTCTCTAATATCAATCAATTTGGGGATTAGAACCAGGGACATGCAGCCTGGTGACATTAGTATAATATAATGTGGCATCTCCAAGCCGCCTGCGCTGCTTTGAAGTGAGAATCCTCCATGTTGTTCACATGTACAGAGGAAGCAGCTTCTTGTGTTTCATAAAAATCCATTTCAAAAGTCACACGAGGTAAACGTAAACTCGCTGACTGTTGTGTGAACGAAACATTGTTTTTAAAAATCTGTCTGCTGCCACACAAACACTTGCATTCACTGTAGAAAAGGGGGTCACCCCTCTTTAAAGGGTTAATGCCAATTTTCTCCCCAGACAGATGCGCCTCTTTAGTGGATTAAGTTGGCGTGTGCCATTTTTCATTTATTTATTTATTTTTTCCTTTTCACCCTGGATTAATTAGAACGAGTGACGTTTACGACGACAAGACGAACCAGAAGCTGCTCTGGTTCGAATTCAGGAGTTTGCAGATTCTCCCAGTGTGTCGGTGAGGTTCTGGTCGGGTACTCCTGCTTCCTCCCTCCATTCAAAAACATGACTGCTCTCCATGATAACCAATCGCAGACTAAAAGAGATAAATTATTACTGGATCTTTTTCTTCTCTTTTGGCTTTTCCCTTCAGAGGTTGCGACAGCAAGTTATCATTTGTGATGAAAACCATCTGCATTTATTCACTCTAGATATAGAAATCAATTAATTGTGAACTGATTTAGTAAACGATTAATGGGGTTAACAGACACAAAATGAGCCATTTGATGGAAAATCATCAGTAATAAAGCCAAACTGCACAATATATATATATATATATATATATATATATATATATATATATATATATATATATATATATATATATATATATATATATATATAGCTGACTGGATAGCTCAATACATAAGGCATCAGTATATCACCCGAGAGGGCAGGGTTCGAATCCAGTCTGGGTCCTTAGGCAAGACCCTTCAAGCTACTGCCTACCTCATACCATGAGAGATACTAAGTTGCATAACATGCCGGCTCAGACGTCGCCCGGCCAAACAAGGTCTGCGTCAGGTGTTGGGGAACCAGAGCACCTTGATGACAAATGGGCTACTGGAACAAGACGGAAATGGGCGAGAGATGAAAATGTGGATCTGTTGGAATGCTACTACTCAAGTAACCCTAGTCAGAGGGGTTACATGCAAAGACTGGGGAAGGAATGGTTACTTCGACATCCCCAGTCAACACTAAGCGCTAAGCCGCCTAAACAACTAGTAGCTCAGTGTTCCAACATCCGCAAACGGCAACTGCTATCACAACTTGAGATTGACGAGATACAACACAAATGCTACGGCAAAAGGGAGGAACCCGGATGTCAGGACTGTGGGGACTTAACTACAAGTCCCCACCCAGTGAGGGGATACACGGCCCCAATGAGCGAAACAGAGCTGAACGAGACAGCTGCTGACCTGAGAGAGAGAATCATGACCCGAATGACAACCAGGCCTCCCCGGCGCCAATTACAACGGCTGAGTGAAGTACCATCTGAAAGTCTCATTGAGAATGTGAATGCAGCATTGAGAACGATCCCTACCAACACCATAACAGAAACCAATGAGCTGATCTACAACTCAGCATCAGTGATCCTTGAGATACTTGGCTATAAGAGCAACCATGAGACCCAATACCCACCATGGAAAAGACAGTTAGAGGCTAAAATCAAGGTAACAAGGAGGGAAGTGAGCCAACTGTCAGAGCTCCACAAGGGAGAATGAATCCAGAAGGATTAACCGGCTCTTCTCCACTCAACCAGCTAAGGTGTACTCTCAATGGCAGGGTAACAATAACAACAGAGCAGACCCACCAAGGCTGGAGACTGAACAATACTGGAAAGGCATATGGGAAAGGGAGGCGTCCCACAACAGCAATGCACAGTGGCTGATCTCTCTACGAGAGGACCACAGCAACCTCCCTGAGCAAGCCCCGGTAACCATCACTGTGACAGATGTCCAAGAAAGAGTCTCAGGTATGAAAAACTGGACAGCACCAGGGCCTGACATGATCCATGCCTACTGGCTAAAGAAACTCACTGCTCTCCATGAGCGAATGGCAGCCCAAATGAACCAGCTGCTACAAAGTGGGACTCACCCTGAATGGTTAACTGAAGGGCGGACAATCCTAATCCAGAAGGATCCATCAAAGGGTCCAGTCCCACCCAACTACCGACCAATAACCTGCCTCTCCACAACCTGGAAGCTCATGTCAGGCATCATAGCGGCCAAGATAAGCAAACACATGGATAAACACATGAGCACGGCACAGAAGGGTATCGGTGTAAATAGCAGAGGAGCCAAACACCAACTCCTCGTAGACCGCACAGTTGCCCGAGACTGCAAAACCCGACACACCAACCTGTGCATGGCTTGGATCGATTACAAGAAAGCCTATGACTCAATGCCGCATACTTGGATCATTGAATGCTTAGAGATGTATAACATCAACAGGACTCTGAGAGCCTTCATTGCAAACTCGATGAGGCTGTGGAAAACCACCCTTGAAGCCAACTGCAAACCACTTGCACAAGTGTCCATCAAATGTGGCATATACCAAGGAGATGCTCTGTCCCCGCTACTGTTCTGCATAGGCCTGAACCCCCTCAGCCAAGTTATCAACAAGACTGGCTACGGATACAGACTCAAAAATGGGGCCAATATCAGTCACCTACTCTGCATGGATGACATCAAGCTGTATGCCAAGAGTGAGCGAGACATCGACTCACTGATCCACACCACCAGGATCTACAGCACTGACATTGGGATGTCATTCGGACTAGAGAAATGTGGTCGGCTGGTCACAAAGAGGGGGAAGGTCATCCACACAGAAGGGGTCTCACTCCCAGAAGGAACAATAGCAGACATAGAGGACAGTTACAAGTACCTAGGTATACCACAAGCAAATGGCAACCTCGATGAGGTCACAAGGAAAGGAGCCACAGCTAAATACCTCCAACGAATAAGGCAAGTCCTGAGAAGCCAGCTCAATGGCAAGAACAAAATCCATGCGATAAACAGCTATGCCTTGCCAGTAATCAGATACCCTGCTGGAATAATTAGCTGGCCAAAGGAGGAGATAAAAGCCACAGATATTAAGACCAGAAAGCTACTAACAATGCATGGAGGGTTCCATCCCAAATCCAGCACCCTGAGACTGTACACGAGCCGCAAGGAAGGAGGCAGAGGACTAGTGAGTGTGAGAACCACTGTCCAGGACGAAACAACTAAGATCCATAAATACATCAGGGACAAAGCCTCAACAGACAATGTGCTCAGTCAATGTCTCAGACAACAGGGAACAGAGGTTGAGGTGCCAGAGATACCATCATGGGAGGACAAACCCCTACATGGGATGTACCACCAGCAAATAACCCAAGTGGCTGATATCAGTAAATCCTACCAATGGCTGGAAAAAGCTGGACTCAAGGACAGCACAGAGGCCCTCATCCTGGCCGCCCAGGAACAGGCCCTAAACACCAGAGCAATAGATGCCCAGATCTACCACACCAGACAAGACCCAAGGTGTAGGTTGTGCAAGGAGGCCCCTGAGACAGTCCAGCACATCACAGCAGGGTGCAAGATACTGGCAGGGAAAGCGTACATGGAGCGACATAACCAAGTGGCAGGCATAGTGTACAGAAACAT